AAGTTGTACATAGAATAAAAAAAATAAAATTTAGCAGACTCTTATTCAAATGATCATACATTTGAGGCACTTTCATTTGAATACCTTCTAAAGTGCTCTACTTTCGATGTGAATACTGTTTTATCCATTGTACGGAATAATGCTCCTGCAAGTTAAAGGTGGGGAGGGCAGTATCAGTGTATGTATATGTGTGTGTAAATGTATGTGCATGTGTGCATGTTAGTCAGGATAGAGAAATAAAAGAAGACCAAAATGTCTCATTTGATAGGATAGGTAAAAATATTAACATTCTTAGTACATTAGAGAACACATAAAGGAAACACAAAAATGTTCTAGAGCCCAGACAAATTTTCCAGAGCTGATCAGCCTCAACTTAATTCCATTCTCTACTCACCTATGCTGTTCTAAGCTAAAGAAGTCACACCATTTCTAATGAATATACATGAATGCAGCTATCCATGATACCTAAATTGGGAAAGCATATTTATTCACAAATTACCTATTATCAGACTATAAGAAGTCATATAAGTGTGATACAAATGAACTAGTAGCCAAGATTAGCTTTGATTGTGATGTATCTTAAACATTAGAATACAGTACAAAAATTATATTGAAATAACAGAACACTATAACCAAATGGCAGTCATTTCAGCAATGCGAGGATGATTTAATATTAGTAAACCTATAATTTAATCAATAAAACTAATGAAAGTAAGGATAAAAATATGAAATCCTTTGAAAAAGTAACAAAATGAGGCTTGTTGGGCTTGCGACTCAGTGGTACAATACATGCCATGCATATGTGTGAATCTGTGGCAAAAACACAAACTCCAGGAAATTATTTAGACTACTCTTCCTACAAGATAATAAAATATTTTAAAACGTGTAAGTAAAATTATATAAATACATATGTTATATATAAATAAGACAAATTGGAGCTGATAGTACAAAAGGTAGGACACTTGCCTTGCATGTGGCTAAGCTAGGTTTGATACTCAGCACCCCATATGGTCCCCCAAGGCCTGCTAAGAGTGATTCCCTGATCACAGAGCCAAGAGTAAACCCAAAACAAAAACAAAACAACAAAATCAGACAACTCAACAAAATATAAAAAAGGACACAGGAATCATTCCAAGTTCAGGAGTTTGCTACTTGATAAAAATCTTATACTAGAAAAGAAAAAATGGATTGTTCATTAATTTATTAGGATAATCAGGGAGATTAAAAATAAAAGACATAACCATACCTCACATTTTACTCTGGGATAAATTCTTGATATTTTTAAGTGTGTATATGTGTGAAGGGGAGAAAGACTAAAGGAACTGTACAAAAAATGCTTTCATAAACTTGGAAGATCTTTCTGAACTTGTAAAGCCCAGAAGTCATAATTTTTTTTTAAAAAAAAGCATTATTACTATACAGAAAAAATACTACAAAATTCACCATAAATACATTGAGTATAAAAAATAAACTGGAAAAATATTTGTAATTCACATCATCAAAGGGCTATATTTTCCTTTTAATAGTATTCTGAACATCACGGTCACGGTCCTCCCGTTGTTCATCGATTTTCTCGAGCGGGCCCAGTAACATTGCGAGACTTGTTACTGTGTTTGGCATATCGAATACATCACAGGTGGTTTGCCAGGCTCTGCCGTGCGGGCGAGATACTCTCGGTAGCTTGCCGGCTCTCCGAGAAGGGTGGAGGAATTGAACTCGGGTCAGCCATGTTGGCTGCATGTAAAGCAAACGCCCTACCCACTGTGCTATCGCTCCAGCCCCATTCTGAACATCATTAATAAAAATATAAACAGCCCAATGAAAACGGAAAAAGGACAAAACCAATAGCTGACAGAAAATACTTATGACTCTAACATATAAAAAGGTACTTAACCACCTATTAGATGGATAAAGATTTTTTTTGAGATGGCTAATACACTTCTCAGTGCAGATGCAGAAACATCCATCTCACAACTTGGCTGCTGGGAGCATGCTCTTGCTGGGTGGAGGGGGGGGGAGGGCAATTTGACAGACTCTGTAGAGTTTCCCAATTCACATCCTTTTGTCCAGCAATTTTTTTTCTATAAATTCATGCTACATACAGGTCTTTACCTCTAAAACAATTCACTAAATGATCTCTAATTCTCAATTTTATTGAAGTTCTCCCTTTGCATTAGCAAAATATGTGAAGTGGAAACCAGGAGACAAATCAGTAGATGAGCGCATGAGTCCACAAATTTGATTCCCAGTGGCACTGGGTAGATGATTGTGATTGCTCTTCTGTCTGCATGTGGCAGCTCACCCAGACTATCAGCAGACATCAGGTGTACCACAATCATGTGAAAGCACCACAACTAAAGGATGAGACTCCCCAACAAACACCGCAATTGGGGAAAAAAAATAGACATGCAAGCATTCTGGTCAGGAGTGTGCCCCTGGTGAGAACTTGTGTGAACACTATTGTGGTTCTCGGGAACACCATAACTCAAAGAGTTTGACCCTGGTGAGCACTGCAGCCAGTAATGGGAGCACTGCGATGTTTGTGTGAACCCCAGCAAGCACTGTAACATCAAGAGAGAGAAGGAAGGGAGCATTGAAAATATAATGTGGGTTCATGTAAACCTTTCCTCACAGAGGACTGGTCACATACAGGATGGGACGGCTACACCAGGCAACCCCCTATAGCACTAAGGGAAAGGATTAAGCTCTTTGTGTACTATTATGGAATGAACCTACCAGATAATGCTGAGAGGTCAGAGAAGATTTGACAATAAGATGGCATGCTGCCATTTGTGTAAAAAGAAAAAATCTAAAGAATATAATATGTAAGTGTAACTACAGGCATAAATTCTCTCTGGAAAAATGACCAAGTATAAAAAGAAATAATTACAATGAAAATGTAGGCTTAAAAATAGCACCATTTTATAGGGCTACAACCAGTAGAGCTGGGAGGGGGACTGGGAGTGGTAATGAGGTACTGAAGACTAAATTTAGGAATTTCCAGATGCCAGCCATGTGTCCTACCATTTGAGCTATCTTCTCGTCCCCAAGAAGCACCATTTTATTTTATTTTATATTACATTACAAAAAATGTGGGCCACACCCAAGTGCTTGGGGGCTACTCCTATTTGTGTTTGGGAGGGTCACGAGGTACCAGGGTTCAAACCTGTCCTCTCGCATGTAAAGTGTGTGCTCAGTCAGTTGAGCCATATGTCTATGATTCACAAAAGCAGCACATTTTATTTTATTGTTTAAAATGTATTGTTTTGGGTTTTAGGCCACATCCACGCAGTGCTCAGGGCTTACTCCTCACTCTGCATCCAGAGATTACTCCTGGTGTGGTTTGGAGGCCATATTAGGGGTGCAAGGCAGAACCCTAATCATTTACTATCCCTCCAGCCCCAATGCAGCCTTTTAGTTGTTGTTGTTGTTGATATATGTTTGTTTCTGGGCCACACCTAGAGATGCTTAAGAGTTACTTCTGGCTCTGCACTCTGGAATTACTCCTCGTGGTGCTTAGAGGGAATCATATGGGATGTCAGGGACTAAACCCAGGTTGGCCATATGCAAGGCAAGAGCAAGAGTACTATCACCCCGACCCCAGAAGCAGCATTGTAAAAGAGGCACAGCATAGTAGGATATAAGCTGTTACTTTCCTCCTGTTTTAGTTGAAATTTACAACATGCAATTGTAAGAAATAACACAAAGTTCCTACATATCCTCTACATATCCTATTTTCCTTTAAAAAGCAATTTGTCAGTATAAGTTAAGAATCTTAAAAATATTCACATCTTTGGTTCAGTAATCCCAGTTCTTGGAACCTAGCCTAAAAAAGTAATTCATAGCAAGAAAAAAAGTTATATGCATTACAATGTTCATTTGATACCATATATAAAACATAAATACACTCATAAAATTTTACATAATCATCTGTTAGACAAAACAGGTCATTAAATGATAACATAGCCACTAGATAGAATGTTCTACAACCATTAAATCACATTCATGGAGATCATGTGGGAATTGGTATAATACCTGTGAATTGATGACTTGATGCTTTCTGAGTTTCGGTGCCAGGGATTGAACCCAGTGCTTCACACATAAGTGTGAGCTACATTGAGCTACATCCTGGCCCTTAAAGTTGATCTTTTTTAAAAAGATACAATAGTTCCCCCTTATCTGCACCTTTAATCTCTGGGAATACTATGTTAAATGATATTAAGAATCCAGATTCGCATAATTCTTATTTTCTTTCTTGAGTTGTTGAATGTTATTACTGGCTCCTATTTACCTCCTACTGTGATCATTGATAAATTAATACTTAGCATAGGTAAATAGGCACACTAGAATACACGGGATCGGGTACATCCTGTGGTTTTAGACATCCACATGCGACACATCTCTGAAGAATAAGGTGGAGGAATGGACAATTTACTAAAAGATGATCATTTATGGATAATGAATAGGAAATAATAGAATGGTAGTGAGTACTATGTATATGTGTGTGTAGAAACACCAAGCTATGCTCAGGGCTTAGTACTGGCTCTGCACTCAGGGATCACTCCTGGTCTTGGGCATCAAACTCCAGTTGCTAGATGCCAGGCCTTACCCCTGTACCATCTCTTCTGCCCCAGTTTTTTTTTCTTGTCTTTGGGGAGGCCAAACCAGGTGGCCCTCAATAATATTATCCCCAGATCTGTGATGGGGGTTATACCTGGTGCTGGGGGACCCAAGAGGGGGCGAACAGACTAAGAAGCACCCTTTCAGCCCACGGGAGTCACCTCTCCAGCCCGAACGTTAATGTTTTGACTCTTTCAAGACTTTCAAGATCGTTTTTCAGGTTAACTTTTGCACATTTCCTCAACAGTGGGAAAATCTCCCTGTTCCTACTTTGACTGGGATTTAATTGGAGAAGGAAAACGGAGTTAAAGACGACTGCTTGGTCATCCAGTCAGGAACATGTACGAGGGAGAGACGTGGGTGAAGAAAGAGCCACTTACTTGCATCGTCCTCTGGGTGGACCCTGCGACCCAGGCGGGAGCCTCGGAGGGGCTGGACCAGCTTCTCCTGGGGCTGGGCACAGGCCACTGAGGGAGGCAGCGTGCTCCCGGGGGCGCTGCTGAAGGACTCCCAGAGTTCCTTCCTTGGCCTGGGTTCTTGGAACAAGTACTCCAGGGGCTTGTCTTTGAGTCTGAGGGAGGAGAAGAAGCTTCGCTTAGGAACCTTGCCGGCGTCGGGAAAGGTCTCTTGCAGACTCACTTTTTCCAGGAGGGAAGGGACGTCGTCTAGTCGGCTGCACTGGGCGCGCCCCACTGCAGGGAACATCTTGGAGGCCCGGTTAGGCAAACTTCGGGTGCGGAAGGCAGAGTCCATGGGGTTGGGGTAGGCGGGCTGGGCAGTCCTGGCCGTGAGGGTGCCCCAGGAGCGGAGGGAGGAGGCCCTGCCTGTGGCCTGCGCCTTCCAGTCCTTCGTGGCACTCCGCAGGCTGAGCGAGCGTGCATACGCATGGGGCGCGCTGGTGGCCGCCTTCTTGCCACTATCCGAGCTGGGGAAGAAGCTGCGGAAGGCGTTGGCGACGATCTGCAGCGGGGACTTGGGGGGCGTCACCATGCGCTCCCCGGGGCTCTGCTCCTCTGGTGTCTTCTCGCGGGCATCGCGGGCGCCTGTCAGGGGTTTTCTCCACGTGGACAGAAGCTGCGAGGGGCTCTCTGACTTCAGCCCCTGCTTTGCTGTGTGAGGCTGCCCGGTCCCGGGCCCCACCGCGGGCGTGCTGTCTGGGATGGCATTGTCCCAATCCAGCAGCCTGCTCTTCTGCTCGGCCGTGAGCTCTAACTTCTTCAGGCGGGTTTTCTTCCCCTCCTTGGGTTCTGATCCGCCTGCCTCTCCCCTCTGGCTCCCAGTGCTCCAGCCTTCTGCCTCCTGGTCCTCTCTAGCCCCGGGAGGAAGCTTAAGGTCTGGCCTAAACCTGTCCTCCACTCTCCAGGGCTGCAAGGCTCCACCATGGCTCTCGGCATCTGTTTCCCGAGGTCCATCAGGTCGGGCTCGGGCAGGGCTGGGTGGCCGCGGGCTTGGAATGTGAGCTGGGCTCAGCCTTCCCCCGTGGGGCACTTCCTGCTCCAGCTTTGGGCCGTGGGGCAGGTAGATGGGTATTTCCGTGGGTGCTTCCTGGACTCTTACTTGTCTCCCAGTGCTCTGGGTGGAAGGACTGAAATGGCCCCTTGAGATTCGCAAGGGGGGGTTGCAAGGTGCCACCTAGAGGGGAGGGATCAAGAGAAACAGGGGTGGAGAGTGAGATTTCCCAGCACCTGCTCACCAGGGATCCCGGCCAAACTCCGTTTCTGCCCCCTCCTCTCTTCAACTCTCAAGTACCCGAAGTCAAAAAGGATTCTGCCCAGCTGGCTTTTAAAGGGCCACTCTTTGCTCCAAGTGACTGCCTGGTCAGCCTGGGGTTCCTTTTGCCCCCCACCTCGCATCGGCACAGAGGAGCAAAGGCTGACTGCTGGCCTGTGGTGGGGTCCTGGCAGGGCAAGTGAAGGTATGGACGACCTTCCTGAGCACGGGAGGGCACGGCTGGCACGGATGCACATAAAAATAAAGACCCCTGTCTCCAGGAGTCGGATGTGGCTTTGGTACAGATGTTTCACCCATAGGCACGTTCTCCCCAACAGCCCTGAAACTGAAGCTAGACTTCTAGGGTCCGAGAAGACAGATGCTGCTGCTGCGCTGGGCATGTGGCCACAGGGAACGGGTGGCAGGACCTTCCAGTGACATTTCAAATTCTCATTCGGGCCTCAAGAAAGTGGCCCTTTCTAGCAGCCCGGAACCTGGCAGAGAAGAACATCGGAGGGTGCCAAAGGAACAGCTGTGCCTGTCGGCAGCCCTGTTCTCATGCTGTCTCTGGCCTAGACCTGTGAGCAGGTGCTGGCAGGTAAGAGAAACTGAGGCACTCGCATCAAAGGGCAGAAACCAAGCCTGCCCCCCAGCAAGCCCATTGCTTCTTGAAGGCTGCTAGGAGTCCCCCTGACTCTCAGAGGCCATCAAAGGCCTGGATCCAGGTCCTTCACTTTGGGCATGTGCTCTGTGACCTCTGTGAGGTCCCCAGGGCCAGATCTGGTCCCTCTAATCCCTGCACCCCGTAGTACCACTCAGAGTCATTGGTTTGCCAATGAGGACATGGCTGTGTCCTTGGGTGGGAAGCAGCAGATGAGCTTTGTCAAAGGGACATGTCACCAATGACTGGGGTTAACCTGGGACTCTCTCTCTCTCTCTCTTTCTCTCTCTCTCTCTCTCTCTCTCTCTCTCTCTCTCTCTCTATTTCTCTCCTCCCCTTCTCGCCGTACACTTGGGGCAGTTGAGGCTGGCTCAGAACCTGGTGGGAAGTGTGGAAGTGAGGGAGTACCAGAGTACAGCTCTCCTTCCTCACACCTGTGCTGGGCACCCAGAGGCACTTACCTGACTCCAGGTGGAAGGTTCTAGAGCATTCTCTGAAGTACTACTGGTCGATGAAGGTGGTGGAGAGAGAGACAGAGAAGATGAAGAGGACGCAGAGAGGAAAGGAGACTCATCCCTTTGAGGGACAGGCAGCTCTGCTCTACCATTCCCTGATGCCGGATCTATGGAGGAGGAAGAACAGTTTCTATTACACAGCTGTTGCACCGTTGTTTTATTATAAAAGGGCGGGAGAGGAAGAGAGAGAGAAAGAGAGTGGGGAAGAGAGAGAGAGGATTTGGAACCATGCCTAGTATTGCTCAGGGTTTACTCCTAGCTCGGCCCTCAGGGATTACTCCTAGCAGGGTTTGGGGATAGAACTAATGCTGGGGATAGAACTCATGTTGGCTGGGTGCAAGGCACATGCCCTGCCTGCTGGCCAATCTCTGACTCCCCAGGAGGAGGTTTTAAGTGAAGCTCAACTCCATGGATAGAGTCAGATGAAGGAAGAAGGTGGAGACTGAGTCTGAAGCCCTAGGAGGCCTCCGGCTTGGTTCTTGCGTGAATGGGTGTCAGAGCAGCAGGCTTGAACAGAAGGGGGGAGATCCCAGAGGCAACATTTCAGAACCACTGTGTTTCCAGCTCATGTGAAAACATTCCTGAGCGATGCCACAGGGTTCCTTGGAAATGGACATCTCCCTGGAAGTTCCCCTTGGAACCACTGAGGCCGGGCTGGGGCTGCAATCACTTTAGTGAGCTGGTCCACCACTCAGTGGGTCAACTTATCCCACAAGCTGCTGGGCGCTGAGAGCAGGGCAGCCAGGTAGACAATGTGGATACCAGGGGGTGGTCTGAGAGCACAGGGGAGTGGGGACTCTGAGTAGCAAGCAAATCACAGAGCCTAAGAGAGGGGTCTATGCCCCCCCCCCCCCCCCGGTCGGGCAGCAAATGGAACACAGTGCCTGCGCTCAGCTTGCATGAGCAAGGAGCCCAGTGCTGAGCTCAGTGCTGCTGACGCTTCCCACTCACAGCCCTGTGGCCTGAGGAACAACCAGGGCCCACGCTGACAGAATCTCCTGTGGTTAATGGCACAACTGGCTCTGAATGAATTTGGGGTCTTTGTACAACCAGAAACCTTCGGCTGATGACACATTTTTTCATGAGCCCTCACTTTGAGTTATAGATGGCTCTCAATCTCTTTCCCTTTTGGGTGACCTCTTGAGTGTACACACACACACACACACACACACACACACACACGCACACGCACACGCACACATGCATGCATGCATATAAATTTCGCCTAATAATCCCAAATCTCAAGTACTGTTTTTCCATATTGGGCCCTTGTTTCTGGTCATGCTCCTCAACCGCCCCCACCTGGCTCCTAATTATTTGCCTTCACTTTGTTCCTTCCAGGACTCTGGACTTCCTTGCCCGCATGGTTTTAGGGAAACTGGCCTCAGTTTCCCCAAAACTCTGGGTGTGAGGTTCCTCCTTGCAGGACCCACCTAGGTCAGCCCCAACCCAGGCTACACCCTAAAAAGAAATCTTTCCCTGGATTGGAGAGATAGTATAGTGGGAAGGAGCTTGCATGGCCCCAGAGAAAGAGGGAGAGGGAGAGAACAGGGACAGGAACAGGAACAGGGAGGGGGGTAGTGGAGAGAGGAGAGAGAGGAGAGGGAGAAAGAGAGAGGAGAGAGAGAGAGAGAGGAGAGAAAAGAGAGAAGGAGAGAGAGGGGAGAGAGAGGAAGAGAAAGAGAGGAGAGAGGAGAAAAGAGTGGAAAGGAGAGGAGAGGAGGGAGAGAGAAAGAGATGGAAAGGAGGGAGGGAGGGAAGGAGGGAGGAAGTGAGGGGAAGGGAGGCAGGGAGGGAGGGAGGAGAGACACTTCTATTCATTGCAGATACCAGAGGAAGGCTGATGACACGTGTTCTGACCTGCTTGCCTCAAGCACTGCCCAGAGTGTGAGGGCTGGGCCCCCAAAGGCTCTGCCACCCTCCCCGAAGATCTATGAGCCCCCCTAGGAAAGCCCTCCTAAGGGCTCCCAAGAAGAAAGGGGATCCTGGGAATAGGAGGAAGGGCAGGAAGAGCTGCTGGGAAGAAAGGCGCAGGCTGAGGCGAGGCGGGCAGGCAGCTGGCCGGTCTGACTGACACCCGAACCTCCATCTCAGCCCACAGTGAAAGCTCCGCTCAAGCCTAAAAAGGCAAAAGCTGTGAGTCAGTCAGTTGTTGCCCGGCTTCCTGTACTTGGCCAGCCAGATTCCTGCCAAATTCCTTCTCCTCTTCCTCGCCCCCTCATTCTCCTCTCCACACTCACCTCCGGGGTTGGTCTGCAAGTGCCCTCAGCACACGGACAGGCGGCCCTCTCGTTCCGGAGAAGATTCTCGCCAGCCCAGTGGCACAGTCACGTGGGCACCCCCTAACCAGGACCCCGAGCCCAGAATCCCCCCCTACTCCCTTCCTTTCACCCTCACCCCAGAAGTGGGACCCCTCTCTCCATGCATGCCTCATTTGTGGGCTTGAGGCCGGGGACGTGGGCAAACTGACTCTGGGAGGGGAAGGAAACCCCTGGGTCTGGGTGAAAAGGGGGAGCCTGGAACCCCACTTCTTCACACTCACACCGGCTGCCTGATTTGAGAAAATGACTTAGCCCTGATGTCCCCAGGGAACAAATGTCCCAGGAGGCTGAAGAAGCTGGAAAGAGGCAGGAAATGAATAGACCCACGGACCAGCCAGTAGCTCGTAACCATCATGCACCCAAGAGTGCCCAGGACACAGTGTTGAGCCTCTACCCGGTTCCGGGGTGAAGTGGGGCAGTCTGTGCATCCCAGCAGGAAGGACTCAGCTCATGGACCCAGCCATCCCTTTGTTCTTGGCTCTTCTCATCTTCCTTAAAACCCTGAGACCTCCCAGGGCTACCCTGTTCCTCCACCCCGAGGGTCTCAGACATGGGTGCAGGTCCCTGGTGCCAAAGGAGTGAGTGAGCGGAAAAGGACCAAGAGTTCAGCCCAGGGCATCTCTCCTCGGGCTCTGCCCTGGGCCCAGAGGGAACTGGAAACTCCCACAGCCCCCTCACCCCCCACCAGGGCGGGCAGGGTCAGCCTTGCCTACTAGGGTTTCTCCTCCTGGGCAAAATGAAAATGATGGTTCGGTGACTTTCAGTTCTGGGGAGTTACATCAAGTCTGGGTTTCCAGGGGGCTACTCCCAGAATAGGGAGTCCAGGCAAAGCTCAGACTTCCCAAAGTCTTGGGGTGCCCTCTAGGGGTGACAGCCTGTCTTTGTCTTCCTCAACTCAAGTGCTCCATCTCTTCCTGCATTCAGGGCAGCCTGTTTCTTCATTCATTCATTCATCCACTCACCCATTCACTCATTCATTCAGCAAAGGCTGGAGCCTCCTCTTGCTTAGCCCGCTGCTAAGCACGAGGCCCATGGGAGTGATCTGAACTCAGGTTCCCTCAATTAGCATGTGAGAACCAGTGTTTGCTACTCTGACATACTTCTACTAACTAAAGACACCTGTAGAGGCCCTGGCTCACTGCGGGCGCCCAGCAGCTGGCCAGAGCCCCTGCCCTCCTGTGCTTCATCAGTTCCCTGATCCTGCTGGGAGATTCCCCAGTCTTATTCCACACAGGGAACTTCTAGAGGGCTAGATGGTGCCCAGTGATACTCAGGAAAGAACGCTGGAAGCATAGGTGGAATTTGCACAATGACCTGCCTCTTCAAGTGGTCCCTGGCCTGGGGGAGTGTATAAGACGAGGTGTGGAGAAGCCTGGCCAGACCATGCGGGTCCATGCTGTGAGAACCTGTCCGATCCCCCCGACCTCACCACCTGGGGCTGCAGGAATATTGCTGAGTTGCTGCCAGTGCACTCCAGGGGGAGTGACCTGTCCAGATGTACAGCCCCAGTGGAGCTCCAGAGGTGCCCCTGTCCCAGCCTGACCTGTGCTTCTGGAGGTTTCCAGGGCAATGACTCACTGGCTCTAAGTTATCGCTGACTCATGAGAAGGAGACAGCTTTGAAGGAAGTGGATTTTGTATACCAAAAGCAGACACATGAACATTGCTAAAAAATTCGTCAATAAAAAAGAATTTCTTGTCTAACCCAAGGGCTTCCCGGATCTCTGAGAGCAAGGACAGGAGCAGGATGGGTAGGGAAGAGATGGTCTTGAAACGGAGAAAAATGCCCGAGCCCCTCTCAGCACCCTCATTAAAAGGAAATCCTTGCTCTGTGACCACTGTGATGCCAGGAATGTAGATGGCCTGAATGCCTTCAAGCATGTGTGTGGTAGCTGCGCCCCCTAGTGCCGGCTTCCCGCCTTAGCACACGCCACAAGCGGGAGAAAGGGGGGGGGGGGGGAGAGAGAGAGAGAGAGAGAGAGAGAGAGAGAGAGAGAGAGAGAGAGAGAGAGAGAGAGAGCGCGAGCGCCACCATACTAGGTGTGGTCCCCCAAATACAAAACCAACCCCCACCCCCACACACACAGACATACGCAATAACACAAACTCCCACAGGGTCCAGAGATCACTCAGAGGACAGAAGTCCACGCTTACTACAAAGGATCCCTGGAGCACTCAAGGCTGAGTCAGAAGTAGACCCCAAGTAAAAACTAGGGGACTGCAGAGTTGCCAGGAAGCAATGGCCCCAGTCCTGGACGTGCTCCCATTGGCCAGTGGTGCAAACCCTTCAGGATAGGCAGGTCAGAGAGGACACAGAAGGCATGAGAACAGTTGCCCGAGACATAATCCCAGAAGTCCTGCCCTCTCCACTCTCGCCCCCAGAGAGCTCATGACTCACTTGACTGGAATGTTCTTCTCCGGCTGGGAGTTGAATTCCTCAGGCTATTGGCTCTTTGTAGAGCTGTGTTGGAAAAAGTGAAAGGGGCAGGAAGATGGAGAGGGAAAAGAATGTGTCAATATGCAGAATAAATAAGATCTTTCCCCTCCATGACCCCTTTATAAAATTTAATCAACAAATGATCACAATTAAGCCCCTTACTTCCGGCAGACTGCACTTTGGTGTTGTCATAACACCCCCACAGTCTTATCCATTCATCCATCATTCACCTACACACCCATCCACCATCCTTCCATTCATCTATCCATTCACCCATCCATCCTTCCTTCCCTCTACCCATCCACCCATCCATCCACCCACACAACCATCCACCCACCAAAACTATTCATCAAATATTTAGTAAGAACATCACAGTTACAGTCCTCCCATTGTTCATCGATTTGCTCGAGCGGGCCCAGTAACGTCTCCATTGGAGACTTTGTTGTTACTGTGTTTGGCATATCGAATACGTCACGGGGAGCTTGCCAGGCTTTGCCGTGCGGGCGAGATATTCTTGGTAGCTGGCCGGGCTCTCCGAGAGGGGCGGAGGAATCGAACTCGGGTTGGCCATGTTGGCTGCGTGCAAGGCAAACACCCTACCACTGTGCTATCGCTCCAGCTCAGTAAGAACATATTCTGAGAAAAACATTACTGTATTTCAGTAAATACCTCAAATTAGGAGCCATTAATCTAAGTCATCTCTCCTCAGTAAGCAGATACACGTCTTGTTTATACATATACACATTTATTTTCAGGAGAGCACATGTTCAAAGACTGGTCTTTCACCAAGGTCCCAAGAATATCATCAACAGAGCTGCCCTTGAGGAAACCCAGAAGCTGCGGACAGCTCTGCTCTCTTCCACTCAGAGCACCTCAAGGCTTTGGGGAAGCAGTTCTAACTGAGCCTCTGGGCAAGTCACCACCATAATCTCTCTTCTTGGCCTGGTTCTAATAGAACGAACATGTTCGGAAGGCTGGAAACAGTACACAGGAGACCCTCTACTCAGCTGGGCTTTGAGAATTAGCTGAGTAAAATGCACACCCCAAGCAGAAGGAATCAGATATTGGCCATGAGGGCATGAGAGTAGGTGGTGCATGAAGGTCTCGTTCCTGTGCAGGGCCCTCACATCAGCCTCAAGCTGCAGAGCCTGGAGTGCCTGAGAGCTGGAGAAGAAGAAAGGGGTGGATGCTCACGCTGAGAGAACTGGGGGCCTGCAGGGAGTGTGAGTCCATGAGATGATCAGGTGTGGGAGATGAGGGAAGGTCTGTAGACCCTGCTTGGGTCCAGCCTCTCTTCTTGCTGTAAAAAGTCCTGGGTTTCAAGGATAGTAGAGATAAGGACCAGGAGGATTTCTCTACAGCTTGGAAGCTGGTCTCACATGCTGGGGGAAAAGGCATCTGGGATGGAGAAGGGAACACTAAGTGAATGATGCTTGGAGGGCTCCCTCAGGATGAGAGATGCGTGCTGAAAGTAGACTATAGACCAAACATGATGACCACTTAATGCCTGCATTGCTGACCACAAGACCGTAAAGGGGAGGGAGAGAGGGAGAGAGAGAGAGAGAGAGAGAGAGAGAGAGAGAGAGAGAGAGAGAGAGAGAATGTGCCTGCCACAGAGGCAGGGAGTGGGGATGGGGAGGGGGTGGTTGGAGGGATACTGGGAACATTGGTGGTGGAGAATGGACACTGATGGGTACTCAATCATTGGATGACTGAAACATGATCATGAAAGTTTGTAAGTCTGTAACTGTACCTCATGGTGATCATTAAAAATTTTTTTAAAAAAAGAAAAGTCAGGGCTGGAGCGATAGCACAGCAGGTAGTCAGGTAAGGCATTTGCCTTGCATGTGACCTACCCAGGTTTGATTCCCAGCATCCCATATGGTCCCCCGAGCACCACCAGGAGTAATTTCTGAGTGCATGAGCCAGAAGTAACCCCTGTGCAATACCAGGTGTGACCCAAAAAGCAAAATAATAATAATAATAATAATAATAATTAAATAAAGGAAAAGTCTTGGGTCTGTTCCCAGTCAGTGCTTGGAGCTGGGGGGCAGCTCTTACCACCCAGGTGTCAACGGAGAAGCTGTCTTTCCCTAGAACAAGGTCCCCAACTCCCTGGAGCCTTGTCCTCACCACCCCCACAACCCCATTTGGAGCTGCTCCCTCTGTGGCCTTTCCCCAGGCTCCTCCCATGCCTGAGGCCCTGGGCTGGGGGGGACGTGCCTATGTGAAACTGTTCCCCCCCACATAGGTTCCATACAATGGGTAGGAGGGATCCACACCAATAATTTCAAGGAATACAAAATACAGTTGGTTCTCTTCTTTTGAACTTACATTTTATTTCTTTCTGTTCATCTTAAAGGGGCACTTTTGGAACTCTTGGTACATGACCCACTAGAAGTCAGGGGGCAGCACTCTGCTGTCTGGTGCAGAAGATGTCATTTTATAGGCACAAACCAGAACCAGAAGTGCCCTCCACCGGGAGGTCTGGTGGCAGATGACCCTCCTGACTCTAACTGGCCTGTGCCCGGGAATGCATAGCACCATATCCACATGCCTGGGTGTGTGTTTCGCTGCTAGACCCCCCCTACAGGCCACTGGAGGCTGCTGTCCTGTGAGTGCGAGCTGAAGCCTCCCTGACAGCAGGCCCTGAGCACTCATGCCAAGCGCAGGCACCTGGGCCCACTGAGCTGTGCCTCTGAAGGCTGGCAGACAGGAATTTGCCACTTCAATGAGATGTTTCCCATCCCCTATGTGGAAAAAGTGTCTTAAGGGAGAGTTCCCTGTTGGATAACACTTTGCTACTCCCTCAGGGAGCTTAAGATTTATTAAGCCACTCCTACAACAGAGCAACTGAGGCACAACTAATAATCCTATATTTCCTTTCTCTTTCCTTTATGTCATTTGTATGGTTTATTTAGCAATGTCCCTTTTGTATAGACACAGGAAGACAATTGATGCTATGCTATGTAACGGGAGTTAATTGACTCCAAAATAATATTTACTCCTGGGCATCCGTATTTGCTCGACTTAGGCCTCGGTTGCCCTTGGTTCCTAGCACTCCAAGAGCAGGGTCCCGAAAAGGGACTGGTGGGCCCAGGGCAAGCTGTGAGCTACCTTGGCATTGAAATGGGCCAGGCCAAGTGGCATAATACTTAAGTCCTTACTGTTTGTCCAGGACTCATAAGCACCTGAATAAAGTTTGGCAGTAGATGAACCTGGGGGATATGCTGTAGGAAACAGCATGCCATGCTCAAGAAGTCTGGGAGGTGATAGGGAGGTGATGGGGTCCTTGATGAGATTATGTGGACCAAGAGGCTACTTTTTTTTTTTAAGTGTGATAAAATATGGCTTAAGAAAGGCCTTTTAAATCACAGAGTTCAGGGGCATTAACACATTCGTACTGTTAGGCAACCATCACTACTAATTCCCCCCAGGATTGTTTCTCACCCTACAAAGAAGTTGGTGCCCATTAAACAATGTCTCCTCATCTGCTCCCCATCCTGCAGCCACCATCCTGCTTTCTGTCCCCTGGGCACTGACACTAAGTACCCAACTTGTTTCATTTAACAGAACACCTTCAAGTTACCGCCAGTGATAGAATGTCCTTCTCTTTCAAGGAAGCATGCCATTCCACTATACACTTAGGTTGTGGATAAGTTATATTTATCCTTTCGCCAGCTAATGGGCAAGGGCATGGTTTTTTCCTTTGGGCCAATGGCTCAGGAAGCTGCAAATAGAGGCATACAGAGCAAGGTTCTTCCTAACGCCATATTCTAGCCTTGTCTGGTGTTTCTTCTGCTCAGGAACAAAAGGACCTTATGCAGGTGAGACTGGGACTGATGAGAATTTATCCCACACAACGTGACATTAATTCTACCTGATCTCCTGAGGGGATAGACTGAGCACAACCAGACATACAAAACACACTTCTCGGACTGTGCAGAGTAACCTGATGATGTGGTCTACCTGGTCGTAAGCAAGATCCTGAGTTAAAATCATAGGAGGTTGCTTGAGTAGCCCAAAAATAGCGAAAGCAATTCTTGGGGGGGAAAAAGATGGGAGGCATCACTTTCCCCAAGTTCAAACTCTACTCTAAAGTGGCAATAATTAAAACAGCATGGTATTGGAAAAAAGATCCAGAGACCAATGGAATCGGGTTGAATATCCTAACACACACCCTCAAATATATGATCATCTAATCTTTGATAAGGATGCAAGAAATATAAAGTGGAGCAAAAAAAATCCTCTTTAACATATGGTGCTGGCAAAACTGGACAGCTACATGCAAAAAAAAGGGGGGGGCTCAGACCTCTACCTAACACAATGCACAAAAGTCAGATCAAAATAGACCAAACATCAACAGACCATAAGGTACATAGAAGAAAAAGTCGGCAAAACCCTCCAAGACACTGAAGCTAAAGGTATCTTCAAAGTCGAAACGCCACTGACCAAGTAAGTGGAAACAGAGATAAACAAATGGAACTATCTTAAACTAAGAACCTTCTGCACTTCCAAAGAAACAGTTACCAGAATACAAAGACAGTCTACAGAACGGGAAAGGATATTCACCCAATACCCTTCTGATAAGGGGTTGATATCAAGGATATACAAGGCACTAGTTGAACTCTACAGGAAGAAAACATCCAATCCCGTCAGAAAATGGGGTTATGAAATGAACAGAAACTTTCTCAAAGAAGAAATCCAAAAGGCCAAAAGGCACATGAAAAAATGATCTTCATCAGGGAGATGCAGATCAAAACAACAATGAGATATCATTTCACACCACAGAGACTGGTGCACGTCCAAAAGTACACAAGCAACGAGTGTTGGCATCGACGTGGGGAGAGGGGGACTCTCCTTCACTGCTAGTGGGAATGCTGACTGGCTCAGTCTTTCTGGAAAACAATATGGACATTCTCAAAAAACTAGAAACTCAGCTTCCATTTGACCCAGCAATACCACTTCTGGGAATATATCCGGAGATTCAGAGAAAAAAAAAACACAGTAGAAATGACATCTGAACTTGTATATTTATTGCAACTCTATATACAATAGCCAGAATCTGGGGAAAAAACCCCGAGTGACTGAGAACAGATGACTGATTAAAGAAACTTTGGTACATATACACAATGGAAATCTATGCAGCTGTTAGAAAAGATGAAATCATGAAATTTGCATATAAGTGGATCAACATGGAGAGTATCATGCTAAATGAAATGAGTCAGAGAAAGAGGGACAGACATAGAATGACTGCACTCATTTGTGGAATATAAAGTAACAGTACGGGAGACTAACACCCAAGGATAATAAAGATAAAGACCAGGAGGATTGCTCCACAGCTTTGGAGGTCGGCCTCACAAGCTGGGGGAAAAGGTATCTGAGATGGAGAAGGGAACACTAAGTGAATGACGCTTGGAGGGCTCCCTCGGGATGAGTGATGCATGCTGAAAGTAGACTATAGACCAAACATGATGGTCACTTACTACCTGCATTGCCAATCATAACACCCAAAAGGAGAGAGAGAATTAAAAGGACTGTGGCTGCCACAGAGGTAGGGAGCAGGGGGATGGTGGGAGGGTTACTGGAAACACTGATGGTGGAGAATGGGCACTGGTGGAGGGATGGGTACCTGATCATTGGATGACTGAAACATAAGCACAAAAGTTTGTAAGTCTGTAACTATCTCACAGTGATTCATTAAAAAATAAAAAAATAAAAATAAATAAAAAGATAAAAGATTAAAAAAAAAATAAGATTGCTTGAAAGCCACACAGTCCATCCACTGTTCTCTGTGTCATACCTGACTGTGAAATTACATGGAACCTTCTGGAAATAAAAGCATTGACCACACCTTCTTATTCTCTCAGTCCAGCCCTACACCTCTGGGGACATGGTCCTGGGGAGTCATGCCCTTTCCTGACAGTCAGGATTCTGCAGTCCCCGCCTCCCCCCCCCCCCCCAGCTTCAGGAAGTCCACAGCTGTGGGTTCTGAAGTGTTTGCATCAAGAGCAAACACATCTCATTAAACCCAGCAATTCCACTTCTTGCCATCTATCCCAAAGCCCCCAAAACTTTCTTCAGAAATGACATTTGCACTCCTGTGTTCAGTGCAGCACTATGCACAATAGCCAATAAAAATAAAAATAAAAATCTGGAGACAACCAAGAACAGATGACTAATTGAAACAACAACAACAACAAAAACTTATGGTATATACACAATGGAATACTACTCAACTTTAAAACAAGATCAAATAATGCAATTTGCTGCTATATGGATGGAACCAGAGAGTATCATGCTAAGTGAACTAAATCAGAAGGAAAAGGACAGGGGTCAAAGTGATAGTACCGTGGGTAAGGCACTTGCCTTCCCCAGAGCTGACCTGAATTTGATCCCTGGAATCTCATATGGTCTCCCAAGCCTGCCTGGAGTGACCCCTGAGCAAAGGGCTAGGAGTAAGTCTTGAGCACTGCCAGGTATGGCCCCAAAAACAAACAAAAAGGGGAGAGAGACAGATACAGAATGATCTCTCTTATGTGTGGCATATAAAAAAAAAACACACTCAAGGTCAGTCAGTAGCCAATAGGCGACACTCACTGCACATGCTAAGTCTTGCTCATCAGCACCGCAAATGAGTGCTGCAAAAGCGTTTCTATGATATTTTCCCTTAAAATATTTTCCCAACTGGTTTATAGGGGTTTTGTTCTTTGAACACGGTCTTACCACCCCCCATACATGGTTGCGCTGCTGAAACCTCCAGTTTAGATTCTTGCTGGGTGCACTTTTACCTGCAGAGTTTGTACACATGCTTGCTGCAGGTCACTCCTTTTCTAGTCCTCACACTCAAGAACATTTGCGTTGTTTGGGTGGTAGTGCTTGCCAGGGTCGAGTGCTCACACACATGCTCACTGGGGCTCTGAGTATGAGTGTGTACGAGTGTATATGTGTGTGTGCGTGTGTTTGTGTAACACTGTCTCCAGTGGTGCGTGCACATATTTAGTTGTGTCACAGAGGGTTGCAGGGGTCAGTGGAAATCACTAAAATGTGTGGTTTCACACACCTAGCCATGCCTTCCTCGGGGGCCCTAATTGTCCTTTTGGAAAAAAGGAATTCAGGATTCCAGGCTCAATCCTGGTCTTCCTGTGAAACCATCTCTGGTGGAAATTCCACTCTCAGCCGTCAGAGGGCGGTGCAGGACAAGTTGGGTGCTAACTGACAGCAGCCGCTTTAAAGCGAAATGGTCCCTAAAGGGGCAAGTAACTGAATCCAAACACTCAAATCTATTTAAATAAGCTGAGCTGCTAAAGACAACAATCTCTCCTGGTGTGGAGGCACGGAGCACCGAGACACATTGCCTAAGAGCTACAAGACCTCAGGAAAGCGCTCAGTCCATCTGTTTACCTACAGTTGGACAGAGGATGGGCTGGCACAGGTGTGCAGTGAAATGCATTCTTTAATATTACCTAGGCAGAGTCCGAGGTGCGGTCTCCAAGTCCTGACCAAAGGAAATGGCTCAGTGCTGCACCCAGTGGCCCCTGTGTTGCCCAGGGCACTGCTCCAACAGCAGCTGAGCCCAGCAGCTGAGCCCACTGGGCTTGCGCATGCAAGGACTGTAGTTGGGGTGCAGGAGATGAGCGGGGGAAACAGAGGAAGAAACTCATAGAGGAAGCAGGAAGAGGCCTCGGGGTCGCCTATCCCTGCCTGCGACATTCACCCAGTGCCCTTTCTCCACGGGGGGTTCCAAAGCTTCCCGCGGAGGTGGCCAGGCTGGGTCTCTGCGCCCAGGATCTGCTCACCGTTCATGGCTTTGGACTCCTCAGGGCCCCGAGGAGACAGAGCCTTGCCGGGGGTCTCTCTCGGGGGTCTGTGCCGGGAGAGAGTGTCTGGTGGGGGTGTGGGCTCCAGCTGCCGGCATTTCTGCTCAAAGGCTTCCTCGCTGGAGGCCAAGGCCAGATCACTGCCGCCGCCAGACTCAGACTCGGAGCTGCAAGAGGGAAGGGGAGCGGCTGAGCGTGGGTCCTGCCTCTGCTCTCACCCACCCCTCCCGCAGCCGCCACTGTAAGCGCACGCGTGGTCTGACCTCCTGCATACCTCAGGGCTTCTGGACAAGGGTCTGGATGACCTTCCTCTGAACCCAGAGCCCAGTCTTGGCTTGGGGGTCCCAGCCCAGCCCCAAACTCGTAGCAGGTCCCACGCCCTTGGCTTCAGTTGCCATCACACCCGGGCTCTTTCAAAAGCTAAGTTATGAGGTCCCGGGCTGGGACCCCAACCAATGGGACTTGTGTCCTGACAAGGAGGGGACACATGGGCACAGAGTGCACTGTAGAATGGCAACGAGGGAGTTTACAGCTGGCCTCTCACAAGCCCGGGAGCCATCCAGGCCTGGGCTTCCCAGCCTTCCCTCTGGCCTGGATAGGAACCACCCCATCCTCCTAACCCCCTCCCCCACCCCCTGTCTGCAGGGAGGAAAGGCCGGGTGTCCGGGCAGTGGAATGACCAAGGCCCTTTGGTTCCCCAGCTACAAGCCAGGCAGGTTCTAGCTGCAGACCCCTGTTGGCTCAACACAGGAGCCCACTGACAGCTGAAGAATCGCCCTACCAGCCCAGCACAAGCTGCTAGCCCAGGTGTGCGGCCAGTGGCTCTGCACTGTAGCACTGTCCTCCCGTTGTTCATCAATTTGCTTGAGCGGGTTGTTACTGGTTTTGGCACATGGAACACATCACGGCCAGTGGCAGCTGCTGGAAACAAGTGACTGTTGGGGCGGTGTGTTCCCAGCATGATGCTGGGAACAGTGTAAAGGGACAGATGTCACCCAGAAGCCACTGACAACTCTCTATCATGGCACCCCCTAAACATAAATAGTCTTGAAACCCAAACACAAAAATTTGTAAGTCTATAACTGTACTTATGGTCACGGTCACGGTCACGGTCCTCCCGTTGTTCATTGATTTGCTCGAGCGGGCCCAGTAATGTCTCCATTGGAGACTTTGTTGTTACTGTGTTTGGCATAGCTTGCCAGGCTCTGCTGTGCAGGCGAGATACTCTCGGTAGCTTGCCGGGCTCTCCGAGAGGGCGGAGGAATCGAACTCGGGTCGGCCATATTGGCTGCGTGCAAGGCAAACGCCCTACCGCTGTGCTACCGCTCCAGCCATACTTATGGTATCTAATAAAAATTAAAATAAATTAATAATAAATAAATAAAAAAATAAATGTAGATGGTCTTTCCCCCAATAACAATGTAGCACTGTAGCACTGTTGTCCCACTGTTCATTGATTTGCTTGAGCAGGCACCAGTAACATCTCCATTGTTAGACTTGTTGTTACTGCGTTTGGCATATGGAATATGCCACAGGGAGCTGGCCAGGCTCTGCCCTGTGGGCGTGATGCTCTCGGTAGCTTGCTGGGCTCTCCCAGAGGGATGGAAGAATCAAACCCAGGTTGTCTGCGTGCAAGGCAAACGCCCTACCCACTGTGCTATGTACTGGTGGCTATCTCTCCACTGCTTGAATGCGTGCCCTGCAGGAGAAAGGCAGTTGTCTTGTGTGGGTTACCCATCAGAGTTTCACCCATCATGAGGACTCATTGCCTAGTGCTGACTGGCCTCAATGGACAGTGAGCCTGGGGAGTCGAGTGCCCGCATGCCACTGTGATGTGATATGAAGGGTGGAATGGAAGGTGCACGTGGAAATACTCCTCCAGGGCAGCGGGGCTTCCTCTGGCATCTTCCTCCCCAGGTGTTGCCATCTCACTCCTCACTGGGTCAGGCGGCACCCAGCAGCCCTCACTGTGGCCTCCTCTGTAGGTACCCCGGTGGGGTCAGCGCCTTTCTTCCTGGGAGCCAGGAGCGGCTGAACCCTCCCTGCTGAGCATGCCCTGCTCCAGTCATTTTACATACGTGTGTGAGTGCACTGAACTGATGGCTCCTGGCAGGAGTCAGGCACCACGATTATCCCCATTTCACAGAGGAGACAGAGGCACAGAGAAACATCCCTACTAGAGACCCAAGAGAAGACCAGACCCCCAAACGCTGCCGCCCGTGCACACCTGCTGTCATCGCTGGTGACCAGGACATACACGGCCATCACGTCCTGCCCAGCCACGTCCTCCCCGGGGCTGATCCTCACGGAGGTCCACTCGGAGGGGGTTGGAGAGGTGACCCCACCTTCCTCATCATTGGGCTCGGGCTCGGAGACGCTCTTGGGCTTCTTGGGGGAGGTCGGCTCATCTGCTGAGAGAAGAGGGTCTCGAGAGAAGGTGGAAGGAGCAGCCCTCCAGGCACCTGCTCAGCCCAAGGCTCCTGTGGGAGGGAGGTCCAGCACCCGGCCAATTGGCTGGGTCAGCTCTGACGCATCCTCTGTGGGTCTACTGCGGGGAGAGGGCCTGGGTCCTCCAGCATGAAGGGCCCAGCTGTGGTGTGAAGGGCAGGAACACACACAATGTCCCCTCCAGCCCCCAAGGGGAGTCTAAGATGTCCAGATGCCCCCCCACCGCGGCTCCACCAGCCTCTGAAGCCTAAGGTGCCCTGTCTGTCTGTCTGTCTGTCTGTCTGACATGCTGCTGCTGTCTGACAGGCCAGGGGGAGTTTTGTGGTTCTCATTTTTCTGGATGAGAGCGTGGAGTGAGCCGATCTCCCCTCTCCATCAGCAGCTCTCATGCGGACCCCCAGGACCCCCAGCCCAGATCCCCACACCTTCTGGCTGTCTCTTTCTCTGGTGTCTTTTGCTGGTTTCACTTGACCCCTGACCTCCTGACACTGGAAGGCTCCAGGTCCAGTCTGGTGAGGTCTTTGAACTCTTCCCTTCTCGCCTGGCCTCAAGGCTTTCAAACCTTGACTTCTGATACTGCTGACTTGTGTTTCTACTCAAACCCATGTTCCTCCCGAATCTGGATTGGCTTGCACTCATTGCCACGAGGATGTCAGACATGTCAAACTCAGCTCCAGATTGAACGCTGGCCTCCACCTCTCCCAATCCTGCCTCCCACATAGCCTTCCCCCTCCCGGAACCAGCAACGCCAGCATTCCAGGGGGCACACGCCACATACGCTCAGGGCACCCTTGACTTCTCTTGTTCTTTCTGTCCTCAGTTCATCACCAGATCAACTGTGCTCAATTCATCTCATTGGCTTGATCTTTAAGCTAGGTGATCCCCCACCACCCTCTTTGCTACTCTCCTGGCCCGTGCGCCCATCTGGATTACAGACGGGCTCCCTGTGGCCTTCCTGCCATGCCCACTGCCCCCGTCCCCCTCACAACATTAGTGATTCACTTAGAGTGGAAACAGTCAGGCCCTGTTCGCTCAGCATCCTCGTCTGGTCCTCGGGCTGCCCAGCTGCTCTGAGTCTGTGACCTTTCTCTTCTCCTTCCAGCCCCAGGCACACCCCGCTCCAACGCACAAAGCACTGCTCTTTCAAGCACCTTTTGGGAGGAGAGACGCCTTCAGACGCGTTTGGCCAGAGGTCACCTTCTCAGTGAGAGTCACTCCTCCCCCATTCCAAAGGAAACCCACCCCCAGCATCCCTCCATTTACTTTTGTTCACAGCATATCTCTAAATTTGATAACCCAATGATTTGTTATTTTGTTGAATCTCTCTCTTCCGTGAATAATACGCAAGTAGTAACTGGGCTGGGGTGGTGGGGTGGTGGGGTGGTGGGTGGGGACTGGGCTCGTGGGCAGCTCCTGGTTCTGTGTTTAGGAATGATGCCTGTAGTCCTCAGGAGACTATAGGTGATGCTGGGGTGGGCCACATGCAAAGCAAGCATCTTACCTGTTATACTATCTTTCTGACCCGTGTCTGTTTCATCTGCTGTAAGAATTATGCCTGGCATTAAGTAGATGCTCCGTAAATATTTGGTGAATGACTGGAAGAGGTAGCCAAGTCCCAACTTTGCCCCTGACCAGCTGGCGGTCATCTCTCCAGTCACAATGGAGCAGTGTCCCTTCTGTCTGAGCAAGACTCCTCACCCACTTGGCTTCCTCTCCTCTGCCCCTCCTCTCTTGTGACCCCCACACTCCATCCCCAGGGCCTGAGATTGGACCCAGAACCTGTGAGGCTGAGCTCAACCACTGAGTCACATCCCGGGCCCTTAAGAAACTCATTTTAACCCTAGTCCCTACCCTTCCCCTGGACACGCTGTAATCCTTTTCCAATCTTCCGAAGAAGTTTGGTATCATTTGCTTTCTCTATCCCTGGACTCCCTCTCCTCATGCCCCAGTCCATTGTATCCCATTCTCAGCCCTCTCTCCCCTTACTCCTGGTGCAGTCTCTGAGACCTCTTTCTTGTTTAATCTAATTCACAGGCTTTGGGGTCTTCCCTTATGTTTGCATCCCTCTCTGCTCCCTTTTAAGAAACACAAGGTCAAAATTAAGCATTGAAAATACCATTGTATGCACCTGTGTGAAGAGTACAGCCATTAAAGCTGCGTACCTCATCTGATCTAATCTTTTGAGAGATTTAGAGTCATGGTTTTCAATACTGAGTTAGTAAATGTTGAAGTGTCATTATTTATGCCCTTTAAAGAAATTGTGATACTTTTCTTGTGTTTCTGTAAAGATTTCTTCATTTTGGCAGTCAGGGAGATCGTACAGCAGGTAGGGCAATTTGCCTTGCACATAGTTGATGTGAGTTTGATTGTAGGCAGCTGACCTGGATTTGATCCCTGGGCTGTCTCATAAGGTCCCCCAAGCCCCACTTGGAGTGATTCCTACGTTCACAGCCAGGAGTCAGCCATGAGCACAGCTGGGTGTGGCCCCCAACCCCCCCCAAAAAATCCAACAAACTAAAAATAGGTTTCTTGATTTATACCATATAAAATACTACCCATGATTCTTTCTGAAATACATACCAATTTTAATTGCCTTAACAATTGGTAAAACTAGTTAAAATTCAGAATATTTCTGTCTTAAATGTGAATAATGAAGTCCTAAAC